AAAATGCTCACAAATCAGGTAGCAACCATAAGAGTGATATTAAAACTGAATATTGTATTTGAAAGTGTAAGTTCTACATGTGCCTCACCGGTGCTGGAGCCGGAGGAGGTGTGGAAACCTCTGTCACTCCAGTTTCCACATAATCCTTGAAGGCAGATATGTCACTTTCTTTCTCTACAATGATGCAGAGTGGTGTTCCCAGGGGGACGTCCCGAGTTCCTTCCGCCACCATAATTTTAGCCAAATATCCCTCCTCCTGCACCTCAAAGCCTACACACCAACAACACATGAAAGGGTCATGTTGAGCTTTTACTGTAATGCTAAAGCATCAGGATAGATAACAGTTGTACAGTCTTTTTACAGATTAGTTTTATCATACCATGTGTGATTACCAAAATCACACATGGTATGATAAAATAAAAACAAGAATTAACCAGATCTTAAATAAAATTCTAATATTCTGCAGTACACAGAGCAAATATTTCAGGGCTGAGGTGTTTGGGTTTACCGATGGTCGCCTTGTCAGTCTCGATTTCAGCCAGCAGATCTCCTTCACTCAACTTCTCTCCGACCTTCTTCTCCCAGCGCTGCACTGTTCCCATCGTCATGGTGGGAGAGAGGGCGGGAAGTGTGATCTGTAACACACACATCAAACACACAATTACTTAAGCAATCAAGGCAGAGGGATGCAATCTGTGTAGCTTCCAGTCTGATCACTTGCTACAGGAAACTAGTGAAAAACTCTGTTAAGGCTCCAGGATAACTGAGGTTTCGAGAGCAACTCAAAAGGGCATAAGTCCTGTTGCTGCTATATTACTGGTTCAGGAACTTTTGCTGGAGCAGCATCTAACAAAGTCTGGTTGAAGATCATGCTTTGAGGCAATACGAGGACAAACCCTGACATCATAACTTCAGTAAGAGAAAGTACAGAGTTACAAATAGGGAGCAGCTGTTTTATTTGATTTTATTTGATTACTTGATTTGATTTGACTTACTTATACTGACAGGAGATATAGTTGTGCAAGTCCAGCCTACTTTCTGAATTACTCGACAGACCTAATAGCTTTATACTAATATATAAAGGTTAGACTTACAACCTGGATGATACTAAAAAATAATTATTATACAGAGAGAAAACTGAAAATGTCCCCAAATCACTCTATTCTGCTGCTTTGCTCTAACATGCAGCAGACACACAATGATGCCATCACATACAGACCTAACAGACAGTCTGTCAGACTGAACAGCCCTGATAAAACTATGCCTGCGGCTACATGACACGGTGACGGTAAACAGACTCTATATCACTCGACTCGGCTGCTCTCTGACTACCCCACACCTAACTGTACTTTGTTTATGTAAGAACACACCTACCTTCATGTGTGTGGGATAAGAGCTGCCAGGGGCTGCAGGAGGAGCAGCAGCAGCAGCAGGAGGAGGTGGAGGAGGAGGAGCAGAGGCGGCTGGTGAAGGGGCAGCACCAGCTGCTTTAAGTGAGTCCAGTGTTACGTCCTTAAAGGCTGAGATGAGGTCAGGGCTGCAGGGGAAAATATACACAGAGATATTAGACACAAATTTACACAAAGCATAACCATATCCAGTCTAAAGGACATGCAGGATATTTTCTTGATTATCTGATTTATTGTTCTATTTAAATAATGTTGAAACATAGTGGAAGATGTGTTATAATCTCCCAGAGCCCAAACTGATTTATGCAAATTATTTGTTTTAATGGAAGAACAGTCCAAAACCCAAAGGTATTTATTACATTATCATAGATGATGAAGACAATAAATCAAATCCTCAAATATAAGAACCTGGAACCAGAACATTTAGCACTTTTGCTTGTAAAACAAAGACAAATTTAATTGATTACTAAAATAGTTGCTAAATATTTTTTGTCAATCAACTAATTAATGAAATGGTTTTAATCGATCAGCTCAGGTGTGATCTACTGTCTAGCTTAATTTGAATTTTCATCACTATAAAAACAACAAAGTGTAAATTTCCAGCATCTGAGACTCTAATCAGACATCTATGTTTTTTATATTGCCAACCAACAGACACTTACTTGTCAACCGTGATGCAGATCACTGACCCAACGCCGACATCTCTGGTCCCCTCAGGAACCAGGATCTTTGCCAGATAGCATTCCTCCAGCATCTCAAAACCTACTGTGGCCTTGTCAGTCTCCACCTACAAAGACAGAAACATTTTTTTTGAAGTGTCTAGTGATGGTTTCCTTAAATAACATGGAAACACAGACATACACTGCTCCCAACCTCAGCTATAAGGTCACCCTCGCCGATTTTTTCTCCCTCCTTCTTCTCCCAACGAGCAATTGTGCCCGTCTGCATGGTGGGTGACAGTGCAGGAAGCTCCACCTGTTCAACAAAAGACAAATTCCAATAGCTCAAGAATGAAAGAGTCAGGAGAAAGTGTCATATTTAACCTGGTGGCTAACCAAATATCAAAGAAAAGGCCATTCAGTTCAAGAATGCCAAAAGATCACCATTGTCACTTCACATCATCTTCACTGGGGCTTCAAGACAGGGCATTGCAAACACTGCCAAATTTCAGATGTTGCCACTGCAGTTGCTACATAACCATCACCTCATTCCCTTGCTCAATAAAATGACCTACATACAGCTGCATTACACCACATGTGTGCTGTTTTAGGGTACCTTTCAGTGTCATGTAACATCTGATAGAAAATTACAGACATAGGCTAAGAGAAGGGATCTCAAACAGATCTCCATTAGACCAGAGAGTAGAGGAAAATCTTAGCACACAGACCTGAAAAGAATTTTGTTATGTTTTGGGAAGAAACTCAACAGCTGTGTATACAGGAGGAGAGGAGATGACAGCTGTGACAGTAAAATCTTTAGTATGTCACATTATTAATCCACTAATAAGATACACACTTTTCAAAAATGGGCCAATCTGCACATTCAATACTTTTATTTGTAGTACTGCTAATTTTTTGTAATTTTAGTAGTGAAGTAAAATTTTGGAAACATGTCTTTCATTTAGTCACATAGTATTCTTACACCGGGGTACTGCTACTTTTATTCAATTAAAAATCTGAGTACCTCTTACACCACTACAAGGACACAGTCTAAACCTGCTTAGATTTAGAGTAGTATAAACAAAGTCTCCCATGTCACTCAAGGAGATAACAACTGCGGCAGAAAAATATGAAATATGAGAGTGTGGATTCTTATTGGGCCTGATTTACAGTCCTGAGACTCCCATGACACCACCCATAATGTCTTTAAGGGGATATGGGGACGCTTTCTAGCCCATAAGTGATCGCCTTTATTTCACGCTTAATTCAACCTGATTGAACTGTAAATGTAGCTCAAATGACATCGGAAACACACCACATGACATCAAATTAATGTTCTGGTGCTATTACTTCTAGCTAACTGACAGTGTTGGTAGGAATTCACTTTACCGTTTAAAACCTCTGCCACGGCCTTTATTTTAGCCTGGATTAAACCTTTTAAGCAGAGACACACATTGCTCGGTACATCACAGCGCTATATCATGCTAGCCAGGGAGGTCATGCTAGCTGTAACCGTGAACGTTGGTGCTATAGCAACAACCGGAACCTGGTCAAGTAACTGTACCTTCTGGTGCGGCGGGAGGCTGTAGAAACGCTTGGTCTGACAGCCGCCTGCCAGCTGGGTACACCGCAGCAGAGTCGCTCTGTGGCTGAAGCCGGAGCCCAAGCACGCGGGCCGGTTCCCCGCTCCACGGTGAAGCTTCCTGAGACAGCCGGTCCCGGGCACGGAGCGAGAGCTGAGAGCAGCAGGCCCGGCTGGGAGGACACGGGGACAGGGAAGCCCGGAGGACGGCCTGAGCCGCAGGATCAGACGAAGCATTTTTGCAGCGATTGAAACACTATACAGAGCTGTTGAATAATGTTTTTTTATCTTACACCGGCATCAGAGATAAGCTGGCACCGAGTGTCTCTGTGCCCCGAGAACCGTCCCGGTGTTCCTCCTCACTTTCTAATGACCTCCTCCAGTCCAAAACACAGCGCTTTACGGCACTCCTCTCTGTCCTGCCGCCCCTTACAACGAGGTGTCGTAAACAGTGGTATTTCAAAATGTAATCACTAAATAACCACCACTCTGAATAAAACGAAGACAAAAAAACAAAACAAATCAAACCTAATTAAACGATAACAGACATTTAACCAAAGTCTGATCTGTCAGGGTAGAAAGTCTATTCAAGAGCTGTAAGGTTATATTTTACTGGAATTACATGAGCGACCACGCGATGGCAGTACAACAGTTATGATTGCTTGTGGGCTAAATCTTATGAGATCAAAGTTGTTTTTGCTTGAGAATAAATTACATATACATATGATCACCACAAGACAGTTCTTTCACTGCAAAACAGCCATTATACACACATGCACATGGCCACACTAATTAAAACAGTCACAAATGTTATGAAATATATAAGTCTCTCAGGAGGAGTGTCTCCAATTTCAAGTAGTGCAGCAGTATAAAACCCCAAAATATTACATTTAAACTAATGTAAGACCAAGAAAAAATATAACTCCTCCCATTTGTGAGCCATGAAACAGCAAATTCTGCACTTTTGCTTACAAAAACAATAAACAATTATTCAACTATTTGAGTAGTTGCAGATTTTGTATCTTTGGAAACTCTGAAGTAAGCTGGAATTTCAAATAGTTTTGTAGCTTTAAGCTGAGTTTGTTTGGCTGAGCAGCATGAGTTTGTAATGACTGACCCTCGGGCAGGTCAGTGAGGTTTAAGAGGCCAACACCCCATCCATCCCAAAACAAGGAATAGCCCACATTACTAACAGGCAGCAGAGGGTCAGGAGTTTTCATCTATGATGAAATATTCCAAAGTGCAGATGAAAATGTAGAGCCACCAACCTAACAAGCTGATTTTCCCCAATTTTACAACCACTATAAAAACAGGAACAATGACATTTTTAAAAACAAAACTAAGGTTTTATTTCAAAATATGTCTTTCTAACATCCAACAAAGGGCTTCGTTAACAACCAGCATACATATTTTTGTAAAAATATCAGTAAACAAACAAACAAATGCTAAATAACCATCTCATCAGCAAATTGTACTTTTTATCGTACAGGCAGTCTTGGCATTCAAATGGGTTTTAGTTAAAAAGTAGACTGATGCATATTTCAGTTGACTTGTTAGTGAAGGCAAATACACTGATCACAGATGGGAAGATAGAAGCACACACAAGAACATGCACGCACACGCACGAGCACAGACACACACACACACTCACAGACACACGCACACACACCATAAATAGTGGGATGGTCCATTGTTCATGGACTAAAGTCTCCTTTAAACCTCTGATGCCAAATTCACATCCATAGCATCTTTGTAACAGGAGCAGAGGGATTCTCATCTCACAAGAATCTCTTGAAACAAATCAAAGTCATAAAAGTCAAATATTTAAGGATATGGTGAAAATATTTTACACAAATGTACAAAACAATTTCATAAAGAAAACAAAATAACGGTGCTGTTCATCTGCATTTCTACATGAACATCAATGTTCCAGCATAAATTCTTTTCACTGACAGCAGTTCAGTATGAGCCTGTTCTGTTTACATGCTGGTGTGCTACAGACTGATACTTAAACCCACATCTGGATTTGGGTCCTATTTAGTGAAACTGATTAGTATGAAATACATTCAGGCATTATTTCTCCTTTTGCAAAGGACCTTTTTTTTTAGATATTTTCACGTGACCATGACCAGACTTTTTACTGTTATTTAATGTATGCAATTAATACAAAACATAACACTAGTAATACTAGCTGCTATGTGGTCAGTGTATTTTTCAGCAGGAGGTCAGAATGTAGACAAACCTTGTGTTTACACATTTTGTCCTTCTTTTTCTTTCTTTAAAATATCTGTATTACAAAAGTGGCAACTTTTTTTCCCCCATTTCCTGCTAAGGTAAATAATACTGTATATTCACTTCACATTCACAATGAAAACAGAATTGAAACTGGGGTAAAGAACTATGTGCAATAAATATTTCTAACATGTAATCTGATGGTGTTTATGACAACATTGCTACACAATGAATAAAAAGTGATACTGAAAACTTAAAATAACGTAATTTTTCCAAATCATCATACATCTGGTTTCAACCAGAGGTGAAACAACAACACTACTGTGGTTTTAGAAATAGTTAATTCTTAAGAATGTTTCTACTTATGAGTCCAGTTTTGATACTACAGTTACAGTATGGTAATAATAAGCACATGATGAAATAGCTTTCCTTTGTAAGGCACAGAGTTTTACAATGTTCTAGATATCATTTACAGATTTACACTTTCTCCAGTGAGTTGGGCTCAGCATAGTTAAGTACCAGCTGATGAAACTAAATCTCTTGCTCACAAGTCTTACAATACTTTTCTAATAAGTCGAATCTCAAAAATTGTCCAGTTGTGCCTCTTTTCTGAACAGTTGTCTTGATGTGCCTCTGGGATCAGAGTCACCAAGGGCAAAAACAGTAAGTGTTTCACCCCCTCAGCTTGAACCTACAATGGCCTAAGAGAGAAACGATAATGAGTTATTTACCAATGAGAGTAAGGGAAATAAAGAGAGCGATGCAGGATGACCATGTTGTTACCTTTCATCACCACGGTCCTCTTCTACCCAGGCCACTATTTTTCCTTCCCAGCCTGGAACGATTGCTCCATCCAGGAACACCTGCACACAGAAAGGTCTTCATGTATGACTACTCTGCTCTTAGAATGATATTTACATAACATATGTTTGTTGGAATGTACTTTTGCACACAGCAATGGCTGTGGATTTTGTCCCCCATCTTTAAGTGAACCACAAAAGAGTTTCTGCAGGGTTCTCCAAATTAATTACTAATGAAAAAATAAAAACCTCATTCAATGCAATCATGAGGACAAAGAGTAGGGAAACAGTAGGGACAATAAATCTTAAATTATTCATCAAGTACATCAATTTATTCACATTTATATCTCTATTTTGTCAGTACTTCTCAACTATATATAACAACAATTCCTTGTAATCTAATTAATCAATTAATGTCAACTGAACTCAGAGAAGTGGAAAAAAATTACACCACAAAAAATGATTAAAAAGCCTCCTGTGTGCACAATGCACTGTCACATCAGTCTCAATTGTAATTAATACAGCTATAAGATTGCCCAACAGTCCACAACAACATAGACAAAAAGGTTATAACTAATACAATATAAAAAGTTTACTGTCTACAGCAGGCAAGAAAAATAATCAAGACCTTGAATGAACTTTAAGACTTTTTAATACCTTCAGAGATCGTTTTTTGAAGAAACTGAACTTGATGCTTTTATTGACTTTTCAAGACCTGCAGATATCCTGACAGGTTAGTGTCTAAAGCTGGGATTACTTATTGTATTAAGTACAATAACTTTTGTCCCTAAAAACCACAGAGTTTTCATTCAGACTAGTGTGCATCATTACTGTCCTATGATTTATTTATCGCCTTTTCCCTGCCCTCTTTTACCTCTTCTTTCACAGTGCCAAACTCGGGGTCCAGGGCCTTGAAGTGGTACCTGTAGTTTCCCTCTCGATCCACAGCTGCCTTAACGTCCTTGAGCGTTACCTCACCGAGCCTGTACAATAATTACAAAGAGACTCACTCATCTTGTAACATTTCATAATTTTTTACCATTTTATTTTCTACCATTAGCTTACTAGCCTAAATGTATGTGTTAGCATCATCATTGTTTAGGTGAAGTAAGCAAAAAAAGAAGAAAATGCTAAATTTTTAAATATTTCAAAAAGAAAATATTTCAAACACACACACACACACACACACACACACCTCTTCAGTATATTGATCATGGAAGGTGTTGGGGATTTTCCAGTGAAATAAAGGATTTTAGTAGAGGCAGAAGAACCACTGTGGGACTGACAAACCTCTGTAATGAACAGAAACATAGTTTGTAAAAACATATTCTGTGTATGCATGCATGAGGAGTTGGGGGGTAGATGTTGGAACAACTTACTTGTACAAGGCCAGGAGTCATTGTCTGTGTGTTGACCTTTGCGTCTTGGAGATTTCCCCCTTCCCTGTAGTATTTGGAGAAATGTTGAGAACCCTCATGATTTTTAAATGTCCATATCTAACCATATTTAATAAGATTTTATAGTACAAAATCAGTTTCGTAGTATACTCTTTCATTTCTCATTAATCAATTAAATCAAATCTGATTTCAAAGTTGCTATCAGCTAATTATTTAACAAGTCAGTAGCTATCAATTCAGTCTTTGTCATGGCCAAAAGACTGATTTCATACAACAGCCTCAACCATCAGTTCATATGACACCACTGGGCTTTGGCTCCAGCGCCAACAGTTTCTGAAAGACAAAATTGGTTCGTAAGACTTGTGTGTGTTTATGCTTCCAGCTAAGAATTCGTACCCTGTGTGTATGCAGAGAATGCAGTCTGTCGATGAGTGATACTATTCCCTGCTCCAGGGTGTCCAGTGTATGGTGCTGTGGATCGTGGTCTCTGAAGTTGTTTCTCAAACTCCTAAGTGCATCTCTGAGCAGCTGAACCTCCTCTGCCTGCTAACAGAGCACAAACACAAGAACCCAGTCAAACACAAAAATCTAATTTTATCGATTTGTTCTTGTTTAAAGTCTTACACTAATATGTTTTGTGTATGTTAAGCATGCTCTGTGCCGTGTTTGACTTATAAGATACTATATTTTCGAAAAAAAATTGTCCTCCAGGTAATTTACGGCTCATAACAGTAAGAATGGAGGTTGTAGTGTCTCCATTGGTCAAATTAAAGTTTACAACCTAAATGCTGCAAGATGATACAATGCAAGGGTATAGCTGTGTGATGCTTTGTTAGCACCTGAGCATGTGGAAAAATATAAATAGGCCTATTGACTGAACAACCTTAATCATAGAAACAACACTTACGCCTGACATAGAGGGAGCTGGATTTCCTGAGTAAGAATATCCATTGTTTTCTGTGCTGGTGGGAATCTTAAAAAAGCAACAACAAAAAAAAGTGTTAGGTGCTGTGTAACGTATATCTTAATGTAATGTAATTCATGACTGTGTGGTGCAGATGGAATATGAAACCTAAAACTCAAGTCTTTATTAAGATTTAAAAAGAAAAGAAACAGTACTACCTGTTGCGGATCACTACTCATTAGCTCCTGCAGCAGGCTGTTTTTATGTTCCAACTCTCTTTGCAATTCACTCTGTCAGAGACACAGAATCAGACATCAAAACACACACTAATATAAACCTGCTTGATACAAAAACTTGAAATACACCTAGTCTATGCCTTAGATTATAAATGTAGTTTATTGAATGAGCGAAAGAGGAAATAAGTAAATTTAAACTTACGTTCTCCTGCATCAAAGTAAGTTTTAATGTTCATTTGCGATTTTCATTTTGAGTTACTGATTAACTTTTGGTCTGAGATTTTCCCACCTTGCATAGAGGTAGATGGAGCAATTTGAGCTCACTGTAACTAAAATCCTTAAAGTTGCTAACGTACTTGCTGTGTTTGGCTTTCCTCCAGCTTGTGTTTCAGTTGCTGCAGTAGTCTGTCCTTCTGTCCTGTCTCTTTCTGCACCAACCAAAGTGAAAAGGTAGGATTCATTATTTAGTATAAAGGCAATAAACAGATGCTGTGTGACATAATGCTAGACAATCAAACTAAGTAACCTACTAAAAGCAACCTACTAAAAGAGACAGGCTGGAGTTCCTCACCTTGCATTCGCCCCACAGTCTGTTACATTCCTCCAGCTTCCACTGTACCTCTGCCTACAATACATTTTCATAGAAGAGGAGAATTTGCAGTACACATAATTTATAACACAGTATTCTAAAGATTTGATATTCATTTTACTAAAAAATAGACGATTGTGAGACTCTAGTTTATTTAAAGCATTACTATATTCTGTACATTTTGGTTGTTGAGTTCATCCTTCGTCATGCTGGCTCTGAGAAGCTCTTGCTTCATCTGCAGTATTGAAGCCTCCTGAGTGCATAGCCTCTGCTGTTGGGCGTCCTGCATATTTACAAACCAATAGAAAGTCAATTGATAAGCCAGCAGCTTTTTTACCATACAATTAGAATTGTGGTCTCTGTCTTACCTTGGCTCCCTGGAGGTTTCTCAACTCCTGCTTACAGCGCAATAGTTCCCTCTATGGCAAACAGTAAACAGCGCACTCTGAATTAAACATTAATCACAGTATGCATTCCAGAAGTTTATCAGTAATAAGACAGCAGAGTCTTTTATTCCTAACAAAAGAAGAAAAAAAACATATTGAAAGTCTGAAAAGAAAACAAATGATACACTTATTTACCTTGAGCTCCTGAGCCTCCTCCATACTCTGATCCAAACGACTGCGAATGACTACCTGGAAAGAGAGCAAAAAAAGGGATGTGTGTTAGAACCACAATGGACTGAGAAAGAAGGGAAACTGATACCCGTGTCACCCTCTGACACACACACACACACACACACACACGCACACACACACAACAACACACACACACACACACACCCACACAAACCCACAGTTAAGAAAAAGAAATGTGATCTACACTGAACACAAAGAGCTCATGTAACAGAGCAAAGAAGACAGTGACACAGGAAAGAGAGAGAGAGAGAGCAGACAGAGGACAGAAAATGAAATCAAAGGATAAAAAAAAATAAAAACAAAAGATGAGATTATCAATACCAGCTGCTGTTCAGCGTTGCACTGGTCCAAAGTCAAAGACACATCCTGCTCATCCTCAGGCAGTGAGCCATGCAGCAGCAGGGCCTTAAAAACACAAACATGTGACACCAGTATGTACTTTGGAGTGAAGTCGCTGTTTTCAGAAAAAGCTCTGACCAATCAAAGCAGTTGCTGGTAGGCGTGGTTGTGTGCATAATGTATAATCCCCCTTTCTGTACAGATGCTGCAACCAACCAGGAGCAGTCAACAGAGGAGCAAGACAGACATGATCTTAGACTGTTTTCATACCCAAAAACACTGCCAAGTGTGTTCTGGCCCCATCAAGCTTACTATAACTAACTGCCTAACTAACTATATGAGAAAATACAGACAACACACTCAGCACTTTAGCTTCAAATTGGAGGTTAGAAAGATTAATGTGGTTGAAAATAAAAAATAGGACAACACTTTATATCTATGCAATGAGGGTTAGCAAAATCAAATTAAAATATGAATGTACCTGTAAGGCAGACACCATTCTACGTGTCTCCTGCACCTCCTTTTCCAAAGTTTCACTGAGAGGATCCTCCCACGCTGTCTCCACTACAGCATGAGATGACTCAGCTGCACACACAGAGATGTACACACACAGAACGCTGTGTTACACATGTCCCGCGAGAAGTTTTGAGGTGTGCTGATGAAATGACATGCCGGTTTGTGGCGGGACAGAACTTACCACTGCTCTGCTGTTGTTGGCAGTCTTCCTGCTGTCTGTCTGAGTGGCTGCTGCTGGCTGGAGCCCTTGGAGATGACAGTGGACTGACAGAGCTGAGGCTCGAGGAGGACAAAACACTGATTAATCAATTTATTCCACAAAGCATGTTGATGTGTGCATGTATCAGCAAAAAGACATAGTGTATGCTACTACATACTACTTTGACATGGCTGGGTGATTTCTTGATTTGTTGCAATGTATTGGTGGTAATACAGGATGCTTTTGGAAATTTGTAAGTAATAAACTAGGTAAACCTGACTAAGACCTGTCTGTGACCAAAATAAAATGACTTTCATAAACAGCATATGAATGGAAATTGAAGCATACAGTGTCTCTTTGACAACTCTTTCAACTAATTATTGTATTGTGTGGTGAGATTCTGACAAATATTTGGACAGAGGGACCGTCAGAAAGGAAAGGGAATGGCACAGACGAAAAAAGCAACACATGAGAATGAGACACTTAATTTACCCTCTATTTCCACATTGCATTGTAGCATTGTAGAATTGTTAATGGTAAAAGAAACATAAACTCACGCATACTTGCACAGGACTCCACACAAACTTACACTGCCTCACAGCGTCGGGTCTTACCATTTAATCTGCGTCCCCCCCATAGTGGGCTACAGTGCATAATACTTCCAAGGAGTCCAAGTTTCACCCTGCATGTGGGTCTCTGGCATCAGCATCTCGACAAACTCATGGCAGTTTGTGATGTTCCTCACCCTGATACTCCCCGCCCCTCGCCCTCTAGCTAACAAAAATGTTACCATGGCAACTGTCTCAGCAAACTCTGTTTCGCATCCCTCACTTAATTTAGCTACACATGTGATGGCAGTATCAGGTCGCCATAGCTCTGTTGAATGTCTATCTCTCCAAACGAGACCATATCATCATTCTACCAATAATCAATGCATGCACTTCTTTCTTCATCATTATAAACAGACACACACACACACACACACACACACACACACACACACACACACACACACAATTGCACTCAGTTAAAAGAACATACACACATACACACACACACACACACACACACACACACAGTGATGAAAAAGAACAGCACAGAAGATGACTTCAAACAGGACATGTGATTAGAGAAAATAAAGACTGATTATTTCTTTTTTTTAATCATCTGCATCATCTGCTTACACACATAGACAGAGTGAAGCTTGGAGTACTAAAACCGAGGTCATATGCTCAGTCAGGCAGTGAGACACATAGACACACACACACAGACAAATTAACCACAGAATGAGGTCTACTGTTTCCAAAGTGTGGAGAAGTAGGTGTTAAAGATGAAAGATAACTAATAAAATTAACTGCAGGCAAAAATCTGAAATTCATCAACTGTACAGTATAAATAGCAACAAAATGGAGTTTGTTTTCTCACAAACAACAAGTTGTACAGCCTGTTGTAATATACACTGAGCAAAAGTCTGTTTTCTGTAGGAAAATGTACAAATAACAAGTTTAATTACATAACTATACCACTTGCCCTTGGGCCGCTAAACAGCAGTAACCTCTTTGATGAATTTAGGCCAGCAATGCCCACAAGCTTTTACAGCTTTTAAGTTTTATTTTTATAATTTTATACTATTATCATAGCATTATTTAAAGTGACATGGTCACAGCATGATCCAGCCCATATGAGTGTATGAAGTGTGAAAGTCGTTCCAACCTGTAACTGATATGGCAGATTTTACAGCTGTTTTTTTACAGTATATATGTGAATTGAGAAATGAGCACTATCCTTGTCCTTAAGCAAACAGGTTCAAATTTTACATGTTGCATTTAAGAGCACCACTAGGCCTGTTATCTACTTTTCTTCTGAAGATATGGTGTTCCCCTGAAACAAATCTGACTTTTAAAATTATATTTAGAAGACACATAGAGGAACACGAAAACAGATCATGTATGTATGCATGCTGTTTAACTGCATGCTGGTTTAACTACTAAATTCAATGGCATGACCTTTTTAATTATTATGAGAAACTTGAGCTCATGTAAAAGCAGATTACCAGCTAGGCTGAGGATTGTCCTGCTCATCTGGAGCTCCTCTTTCATACTGCTCAACCAGTGCACGAACACACACACTCTGTTCCACATCCAACCCCCAGCCACTGAAAGATAGCACACAAAGCAGAGGTGATTTATTTATACAGTTTTGAGACAAACCATATTTCAGTAATTGTGAGGATGGTAATTTGGTGATCTCTGTTTGTCCACCAGAGGCCAGCAAAGATTGCACATGTATCTAACAGATTATTGCTGTGGCCGAGAACATTTGGGCATTGCAGGGGGATACTAACAAAGGTTTGTGAGACAAGAGTTTGAGTCCATGTGTGTGATTGTTGTGGCCTACCTGTGGATACGTGTGACACGAGTAGGCTGTGATGCATCAAATCGTGCTGACGCCAGTGCAGCAGCAGCACCTTGTGCTAAGGCAATGGTGGAGAGAGGGTTGTGGGTGGCATAGGGTCTTGACAAGCTCCTCCCACTTCCAGTAGCAGCCCTGTGATTGGCTGAGGGTTTGAAGTGGGCAGCCAGCGCCAGAATAATCCTCATTACAGATCTCAGATTACCATCGACAATGTCTTCAGACAAAAAATGAAAATATGAAAAGGTTAGAACACCTGCTCTCAAAATGAAAGGAAAGAAAGTGAGAAAATACCGAATTTTCAGTGATCTACCTCTTGAGGATATGTGTGGCATGCGTATGTGTCTGGAGGAAATGAACTGCAAGACTTGCTCCACATTCTTCCTGCTTTCCTCTTTGTTTTGAGGAGTCATATATACTCCCTCCAGGACTTCCCCAGCTACCAATATGATGGAAATTTGAGACAGAGAGAAAAAGGCATGAGCAATACCACTGTACAGTTCAAGTACAACTTAGACCATATTACATTTAAACATTCTGAAGTTCATGTGGTAAATTTTCACTTTTCATTGGAGAATTGATTTTGAAGGAAAATATATCTGGTAGTCCTCACTGAAAATGTAATCATTATTAAGTAATCATAATAATAGTGTAAGTAAATAAAGATCTAATGATCAGTTGTTCAAGTACAAATTGGTAACAAATAATACAAATAATAATCCTGGCACAAATTTTTCCTTATTCTTCGTCTGCTATTACTATAATGAGTGGAGCATTTGTGTGTGAAAATGCCCAAGTGTGAATTTACCAACTATCTCAATGAGTTGTGTGAGAACCACCCCATCCTGCAGGTCATGCCTGAGGTCTGTGATAGGCTTCAGGCCCGGTTTCCTCCTCAGCTGAGAGTTCACCCAGGAAACATACGCTGCCAGCTGCTGCTGCAATCCATCACACACACACACACACACACACACACACACACACACACACACACACACACACACACACACACACACAAATCCGACAAACCATAGACCAGCACATACACAAACACACAGAACAACTCTTGTGAGGGCCAAATAAGGCTGAGACCATGGCATAACAAATGAGTTCCTTTGTTTATTATGCTGGCACAGGGGAGAAGGGGGCAGGGTCAGCCTATTGTCCCACTGCCTATTAAATTTTACTTTTGTTGAGAAGGTCAGTCATATAATTTCGTGTTCAGTCCAGAGTTACATGGGTTAGTAAGTCTCACACCGTTCACCCTGGTTCACCCACCCCACCTTTACTGGTCCTGTCTAGTCACGTGACAGCCCGTCGTCCAGGATACGTGACAAAGAACGGACCCCATTTTACACAAAACATAAAGTTTCACCTAACGCTAACCTCAAGATGATGGTTGTTGTGTTTATAGCTTATAGTCATACTAAATCTATATGGCAAAATTATTTGCTGACAACCATTACACTATACGTTGTTGCTTGCGTAACCAAACCATACAGCCATAATTCATCTTTGGTCCAAACTGCATATTAACGTGCAAGCGGAATTTGTCAAAGATAACGTCAACATTAACTTGTAGAGACAAACTGCAGGACCTATTTTTTTTTTCACCTAAATTAACCCATTGCAGTTTGCTTGTCTAACTGTTAGCAAATTTGACAGTCTTCCGCTTGGTAATGGTTAGCTAACCTAACTTAATAAACATTAACATCAGTAACGCTGGGTAAACGTTACCTCGTTAAAGCTCCCGTGAAGAACCTCATCCAGCAAACTTCCTCTAGAAAGTGAGGCGATCATCTTTTAATTCGAAAACCCATTTAAGCTAGCTAGCTGGCTAGCTTCATTGGCTCTCACACGACTAGCCTGAAACAACGGGCAGATAACCCCCCTCGTTACTACCGCTGTACTCCAGCAAACGTCAACAAACCGAGACAATTGAGGGATCGGAAGCGACAGCTACCGTTACTCTAGCTGGAAAGCCGGTGTCAAATCACCGAGTCACACTGACAAACAGAAGTTCCGGTTACTGTTTTCAGAATAAGAGTACCATTGATGAACGCTTCCGCAGTTGATACTGAGGACATACTATCAGCTTGTGGTTGCCTGAAACAATATGTTAGCGATAATAAGCTTACGCTACATTTTAGCTTCATAAATGTAGCCCAATGTATGATAAGTAAAGCCACAATTCAGAATTTCTTTGGTTCCAGGCTATTTCTGTATGTGACCTCAGCCTTTTATTTTCTGCCATTAAACCAGTGGTGGCATGGAAAGTAGTAAGTAATCAAAATACTGCACAAGCACAATTATGATGTACTTATACTCTACTAGTATTTCTATTTTGTGCCACTTTATACTTCTAGTCTACCGCATTTTACTGGGAAATGTAGTTTTACTGCAGTAAGCTACATGACAGCTGTAGTTACAAACTCCAATTAGAGAAGTCCAAAACCTGAATAAAGGTTTGCATATCAGAACTTTGTTCCTAATTTTGTCCTCTCACATTTATCTTCTCAGGACCACTGAGATTTGGTGACCCTTTGGAGGGCCACTACCCCTAGGTTGGGAATTACTGGACTAAACTAGATAACTATATAGTTCAAACAGCAGCTACAACAGTACAATGCTGTTTAAACATTGATGATTCAGTCTTATATTTTTTTCTATTTCTTATGAAAATATCCCAAAATGCCCCACAGGATCTATACTGGGCAGTAAGGTAGTGGGAATCAATTTCCCAATGATACAATGGCTGATTGGACTAGCATGTTTCTCTGTGAAAACTACAATACTCATTCACTGGAAAGTAAGGACTGGCTTACTGTAAGGGATACCTGGACTATATGTCGGCCACAAGCTTAGAAATGTTGGACATTTGACTTGAAGGTCCCTGGACTTCAATTAGAACACTCCTCAATACCCCATCTCATTTAGTCACACATTCTAGAGGGATTTTGTTCAGTCAGTCTTGCTCATTTTTGAACTTAGTGTGATGTAATAGAACAGAAATTATGTTTATGTTGAAATGATATGGATTTATGTTTTTACAGCTGTATGTCAGATGGTAATCAGTTAAAATGTTAGCCGTACCTAGGTTTGCTCTGCACACTGCCCTGGATTGTTTTAGGGATGATGATGCTGGACTCTGGCCCTTAGGCCAGTGCCCTTGTCCATCCCCAGAATGCTATTTTCATAAGCAATGAAGTTATTAGGAAAATGTGAAAGTAACAGTCACATTGTGTCATTTAGAACAACACTGTCAAACTTCAGATTTAGAAAGAGGTAATAAGGTTTTAAATAGGCATTTTGCCAAAAATGTATAATATTCAATCCATCTGTAATACCACCCAAATTTTACCCATCAGTCATACTTGGTAATGACACTAGCATTCTGAACCTGACAAGTTGCCTGGGCTCAACTGCCAGTTTGCCCTGCAGTTCAAAAGGTATCTAAAGAAATGTTTATTACAAACTCTTACAGTGCTATTTGTTTCTGTATGCTGCCAGCTTGCAGGTAAACATACTGTAAGATTAAAGAATAAAGAATATGAAGATAAAATCACATGAATATATACAGGACCAACATCACCATCATCAACATCAATTCTAGATAATATCAACTTACAGTAACTTTAAATATCCATAACATAACATTTGCATTCTTGTTCAGCTTATCAAACTATTTCCAGGTCCAGTTATTATTTGCATTTAAGTTCTCTTTCATATTATAAATATCCATTGTAATAGCCTGTTAACAAATATAGTACTTCAGTTTTTAAAAACCAAGTTGATTACATAATGTGCCATTTCACCAGGCTGCCCACAAGTTCTAACTGTAACACCTTATGGCTGTCATTCTATTCGGTTTAGATGGCTGAACATGGGGGGCTTGTAGGACAGGAGGTTGCCCAGAGATGGGATTGGTGCCTGAGTGTCTCTCTCAATCTGGCTGGACAGTTGCAAATGCTGCTTGGAAGTGGATTATAAAGACTGTGCAGAGACTGGCATTTCCATGGCGCAGAGATTCTGGATTTGACCTGCAAAAACAGTGCAAGATAGAGTAATGTTACAAGAACTGGTTATTGAGTTTGCATGCATGCACAGCAAATAATTATAGCTGACAAGCTGCTTCTTCTGGCATTAGAGAGTAGCTAAAAGAATTTGTCAAATTGAATTGTCAATTAACAGAATTGTCAATTGCCAATTAAGTAATTGATAAATCATTTAAATATTTTCAAAGATTAAATGCCAAATAAACAGTAGTTCTAGCTTCTCAAATTGGAAAATGTGCTGGTTTTCTTGGTCTTCAATGACAGTTGTCACTATAATGTCACTGATGTCTTACAGGCAGAACAAGTAATTACTTGCGCTACTTGAGAAAATAAGATTTATCGACAATGAACGTAATGGTTTATTGGATACCATGGACATCTTTGATGGGTTTAGCGTAAAATTTTACATCTAAATCATGGAGCTGAAGTCCATGTTCCATACTTTTTGGATGGAGTCAATTTTAAGATACATTTTCCATTTTAAGATTGATCCTGTTGGTTGATAGCAGCATGACTCTCTTGATTGCCATGCGATTTTCTATAGACACTCAAGGTCTCCATAGTATGAATCCTGATTTTTTACTTTATACAGTACTTGGGTTTATGACAAAATACTTGAGAAACTCATGCCATTCCCAATCAGCTGTATTTTGGGTTACAGGCAAGTAAGTAAAAACATTGCCTTCTATTCATCAGCATGTTAACATTGTTATTGTGAACATCTTAGCCCGCCAATGCTAGCATAAGTACAGCCTCACAGAGTTGTCGATTCTTTGTGTAGTTCCCACAAAAATGGCAAAAAATGTGAAAAAAGTCAAGCTCTTTATTTACCAATTCGTAAAGTGGTCTGATCCAGTATGCTGAGGTAAGGGAGGTAGATGTTGCTAGGTCCAGGAGGAGCAAAACACAATTTTCCATTATCCAATACCACATTCTCACCAAAAATACAGAGCTGAAAGAAACAGAGAAAAAGGATTAAATATTAACGTTTTAAGTTTTGCCTATTTTTGAATACTGACAGGTACAGTATGTATATACTGTATGTGTGTTTGTCTACCTGCTTTTGCAGTAGTTTCTGTGTCAGTTTTAGAAGTGTGGTGCTCTGTACTCTTCTAAGGTCACTGAGTAGCAAAGTGGCTCGAGCCAGAGTAACACTGGACCCTGGTGGTATGCATGTCCGTCCTGACAGCAGGCTCACTGCTTCCTACACACATTCAAAAGCATACAGAACACAACAGCACTTTGATTATTTTTAATCATTACACATCAACAACCAGAATCATACATCCTTGACTGAAAAGCAAGTACAAGAGAAATAGAGGCATCTGAAAAAAACAATACAAGGAGAAGCAATATATTTTTAATATAATAGCAATAATAATATAAATACATTCTTGCAAACAGTGAGTTAAAATGATGACCCACACAGTATAATGATAACAATAGAAGGGATCATAAAAAACATTAAAGAACAAAAAATATGAATTAAATTCAATGCAAAAAAAAAACAGATTTGAAGAACAAATGTAACAATTGCTCTGACAATACTGCGTTTGTGTTATGAATTTATTATTTATAATATTCATGTCCTATATTTGTTTGGGTTGAAGATTGTTAGCTACTTAGCAGCAAATATGGGAAGACATACACAAATGAGTGTTGTGTGGCAATTGTATGGCAAAGCTGTATGTTCGGTGGTATACCTACTTTTGTTTTTTTTGTCCCATTTGACCCATATTCTCCATAATCATAATCTCTACAAACCACGAGACTGTTAACATCCAGTGCAGTGAAAGCCAAGCTGTTCCCACAACTCATAGTATGTAGGGATAGTGGCAGAGTGGATAATGCATCTAACTGCGATTTAGAAGATTATATATTTGACTCCTGTGCTAGCTTATTTATACTTGTTGGAGTTGACTGGCATTCTCTACACTTGTCTACAGCATCATGGCAACAATACATAGGTACTTTGTTTTACATATACTTGTTGCAGGCATTTGGT